CATCTCCTGTGGCCTGCACTGATTCTCACAGGGGGTTAAGGCAGACACTAAATCTATGTAATACTTCTTAGCATCCAGTTTAACTGCTGTACCACAGCTGAGTAATACATGCCCACACTTTTTCTTTCCTGTTTCCCCCATCTTTCTTTTTTTTTTTTTTCCATAAATCGCAATACCAGCATACCATGATGGAGACGAGGTGTCTGGATTTTAAAACCTGTTCACCTTGCGAGGCAGCTATGCCTGTACATAATGCCTAGGCTAAATGTCTTCTCTGCCTGGGAGCAGGCGTGCTGGTGTCAGCTGCGCAGCATGCAGGGCTTGGCAGCACCCAAAACCGTTCATTTTTGGTCGCTGGCCGTTGTGCTTCAGCAGATCTGACTCCAGTGCTGTTGCCTCTGATGCTCTGGTACTAGCTCTGAGGAAAGACACCTCCATCTACGTCTCAACGTCTGCTTGGGAAGGGTGTTCGCTCCCTACACTTTCTGCAGATCCTCACTGCACCAGGGCTTTTACGTATGCACATATCTAACCACACTGGGCCACAAACAGAAAGCCATCTTCTGGGTTTATCACTTTTTATCCATTTTATCTGGATTTTATGATTAAAGATAGCTCTCTTGAGACCAGAGTCTAGAGCAGTAAAATTGAAGATTTTCAAAACTATCAGCTCGTCAATGGGAGTCTTTTCTTGATGCATCTCCACAATTTCCTTTCAGTAACATGAGCTAAATTCCTACCTAGCTTCAGCAGCCTGACCCTGTCCTGTTCCTGGTAAACTCTCTACCACTGTTTTCTGTGGATGATAAAAGACATGTGTGAACAGCAGAGAAATTTTCTCTTGAAAAAAATTGGTTTGGTTATTTAACTCTCGAACGGTTCAAGTAAAAAAACATACTATCCTTGACTGGACTTTTCACAGAAAAAAGGGAACTACCAACCTATTAATGGAAAAATAAATTTAACGTTGGAACCATAAAGTTCACAACAAAAATGTTTGCATGTGTTCTGGAGGAAGAAACAAAAGTTACTTCCAATTAGGAAGCTCTCAGTCAAGCTTTCCCAAGTCAGGACAGCTCTCTGATGCCACAGTAGCACTGATGCTTGTGTAATAAATAATTAAGATGTAAAAGGCAGGCCTGGTTCAAGTTCATCAAAATAAGACTTAACATCCTTAAGATACAGAGCTAGAATTTGAAATTTGCTTCATCATCCCAGTCAAATCAGAGTATGCATACAGATGACTGAAATTATGTTTGTTCCATTGGCTCTAGAGCTGTGGTGCTCAAGAAGGCAAACTACCTTCTCTTTTCATGTGAGACCCTGTGTGTTTTTTCTAGATATAGAACCTCCTCCTTGTAGGCACAATCATTTCTGTTAGCTTGTCCAAACTGCTTCCTGATACACTTATCTATTATGGTTTATTTATTTTTAACTAGGTGAAAACACAATATCTAGTGTTCTGGATGAGACCCAATACAGAGAAAACATTCTGGTCTGCCTCAATTTATGCTTTAATTTACCAATTCAGATATCCTGTTTGCTTTCTTCACTTCGGTCTCCCTTTCTCTGTTTCTGGAATAAGAACATAATTCATTTTTCTCAACTTTTCAATAGTTCACTTTACAGTGTTATTTTTTATCATTTTTTTTTCCACGTATGGTCCAACTACTTTCAGAATTTCTTACAGGATTACAGCTCTTTTTATGATTACATTTCTATATCATGAAGCTTGTTTTCATGCAACTATAATTTATGTAAATAGCAAACAAGTAGTTCCACCAGCTAATTTTGGAAGATGTTCTTTCTCTGAAACTATTTGCTTCCATTTATTTTGTTCAATATTCTTCTTCACTTTCTATTTGTTGCTAAGCCTTGCTGATCCACTTAGGCTGCATATTCACTTTTTATCTTCAACTATGAAAACTCATGTAAAGGCACTACCTTCTCTTCAGATACGTGGTACTGTCAAGTTCCACTTTCTTTAATTGTTTATCAGTTCCTGGCTTTATTTTAAAGTCCATGATTTTAGCAAACTTGAAACATTTCTTCTTTGTACTACAGCACTGGCAGCGATCAGTTCCGTGAAATTTCCCAGTTCTGTCACCCTAAATTGAGACATTACCAGCTGGCTGTGCTCAGAGGACATTTTAAAAAGCCGTCTTCTCTCTTTGTGTGCTGATGAATTCTGTCTCCTGAAAGCCTAACTACTGTTGTAGAATGACACCGTCAGTGAAAAGCCTTTGTTTGGAGCCAATAAAGAAACGAAAATGGTTACTAGTAAAATTTAAGTCTCGCAATTTGCTTCCTGATGGGAGTAGCAAATAATAAATTATACTCCCAAATAAGGTAACAGTGCTCCACTAAGTGTATCATCTAAGGTCTTACTCCTTATTGGTACTCTGCTTTCAGAATGTAACATACACTACCCATCACGAAGACACTATGACCCAACCAAAAGATATGAAGAGGATTTGGAATGTGTAGGATTTGAGTCAAGGTGCACTGCAGACAGCTTACATTTTACTGGTGTTGCTCATTGTTCAGACTGAAATGACAGTAAATAAGTAAATACCTAACTCCAGTATCTATTACAGACTGCATTATTTGAAAAAGTTGCACGTAAATTTCACAGATGACATGCATTTCTGCAGATACTATTACTATTCCTTGCCTGCATTACAATAAATATATATGCATACATATGTGTGTGTGCGTGTGTGTGCGTGTGTGTGTGTGCGTGCGTGCGCGCGCGCATGCATGTGCTTTCAAAGAGGTATAGGCCCTGCTCTGTACCACAGCCTGCTACCTGCACATATATATATATATATATATATATATATGTAATTTCAGTGATGAGAGAAGCGTTCAGTGAAGATTAGCCATTGTTCTGCACTCAGTGTGTAACTGTTCAGTTTCTCTCCCACTCTTAATCATAGTTCATATTATTACTTGATTGGATAAATAAATGCCATATTTCAGATTACAGTATTTATTTCCCACTCAATTGTGCCCATTCTGAAGAGTCTGGTGGTTTTGGTCTTTGTTGAATAATATGTCACGTAAAAGCAGAATTGGCCCAAATGCATAATGCAAGAAATAAAACACAAAAATTTAAGAGTTTACTTGCTGCAAGATGTATCAGCAACTAACAGCCAAAATGTTGCTTTACAGGAACACAAACTCTAGTCAAAAATCATTCAGTTATGGGTTTCACAATCTGCACTCAAGCCTTAGGTTTATATGAGTGTTTCTGTGAATTTTTTTTTATTTTTTCCTGAAGATTATTTGTTTCCTGCAAAGTCAAAAAGTTTTGTTTATAAAAGCATGAGAGATTGTTTTGTGTTACTAAGAAATTTCTCTTACATTAGTTAAAACAGTGCAAATTAATCCCCCATAGTGCAATGGATCCTGAGAAATGTTGCAAAAATACCATAGGAATTCCAGGCTGCACTAAATCATGTTAAGAAGGAATGATAGGAAATAAAAGGAGCAGGGTTTTCCTGGTGTGAGAACTGTTAGGAAAAAATTTGAAGAAGAGAAAAATAGAATATGGGATTAGCACAAAAGCTGGCCTCTAAAGAGCGTGAGAGAAGGATGTTAGGAGTGCAGAGAACCTTAGGTGTAGGTGAGCTGGTCAGTGAAATAGAAAATTGTAAGCCCAGCAAAAGGTTGAAAGAATAAGTACGCTGAAGGAAGAGTAAGTAGTTGGGCTACCAGTGAAAGCAACACAAGCTGCAGCCTTGATGGGTAAATGGATAAATTCTGAGACTTAATAGTGTACTTGTTCTTGTTTAGGAGAAAATTTTTAGCCTTTGCTTCCTTGCGTCCAGGAGCAGCGCATGGAAACTGGAAAGATAATCATGATCTAAGAAGGCAGAGAGCTCTGCTATTCAAACACTCTAAATTATTACTCCTGAAGAGTACAGATTTTATTAGGTGTATTAGCACATCAGTCAAACCATTCTGAGCATTTCAAGAGCTCCTACAGGTTTGTCAAATGTGCTTATATACATCAAATCTCTCAACTAGTAGACTGATGGGACCTAGAGCAAGGAACTGGATAGGTAAGCGACCCAGGACAATAACCCATTAGTAACAGCTTATGCGTCAGGATGTTTTGAAGCAGAGGAAGTTGTTTGCAAAGTAAGAAGAATGGATGAAAATATTCCATAGGTTATGAACGTACAGAGGAAAACTGATTATTTGCAAGTGCTGAACTTAAGCACAAATGCAATATATGTGCACTTGATCCCTAATCAGGCAGGAGAGCAACCAAGGACTCAAAATCATCAAGCCAGACACGTGACTTGGGAAGATCTTATTTTTTTTCCTTTTTGCTGCCAATTCACATCTTTTTCTTCCTAATGTTCCAAATCCAGTGCTTTGTGGAAATATTTCATTAGTGACTGAGATTACAGACAGCGTCCTATTTGTTCATGGAGTCTGATTTACAGTAAGTCCTCCAGTAACTGGGTTTTATATATGTATGCACGTGTGTGTGTGTGCATGTGTGTGCGCACGTGCACACATATGCATACAAATAATTTTGACAAGCTTATATCTGAATGAATTTACCCTAGCAGATTTATTTACTCTTCTGGTGAAAGAGTAGTTTGTACTTACCGTTTTGTTCAGTGGCTACCACAGTGAGATGTTAATTTGGTTGTGGGGATGCCAAGAAGCCTTATAAACTTACTATTATAGCACTTTTAATATTTAAATATACTAGTTTAACTGCTTTGATCCATTTCCTTCAAAGTACTATTAAAGAGTAAGAAACACTGCCCTTGTCTAAGGCAAGGAATTATTTTTAGTATTATAAACAAGGAACTTAAGAAGATGCCCATAATCCCTGCCAGGTAAACAGTTTATTTCATGGCCTCTGAAGTGAATACTTTCTATAAGAGCAACATTAATACAACTCCAGGAATAACTTTTAAAAGATTCCTCCCCCCTCACTGAGGACGCTTTACAGAAGTAGCAAGAACCAGCAAGACGCTAATTAAATAGCTATATTTATTTTACATTACTACAATATTTCCTGCCCCACAGAGGGATAAAAAGAACCACCCATAGGTCAGTTATTGAAGAGCTATCAAAATATGGTACGATTGAATCCGTTGTTTCTTTTGGAAGACAATCAGCTCTAGCTATTACTCAGAATTGTCATTGCTGCCTAAACAGTAGTGAGGTTTTTTTTACTCCTAACAGCACAAATGGAAGGATCCAGTGTACTTGGCATCAATAACGTATGGAGAGGTATCTCCTGAATATCCATAATGGATGCAAGGCACACAACATTGTTTTAAATTTATGAAACAGTTCTAACACAGTACTTAGAAATATACCACATCAAAAGGGGTAAGAATTATTATTTAAAGAGGAAGTTTATTAAGGATAAGGATGGGTAAGGCTATTGTCAGAAGGTAGATTATTCTACTGGTACAGATTAGAGCTTTGATTTCTTCTGAAAGAAGCTGACAATAGCATTTAGACATTCATCAGACAACCACCTCTCCTTGAGGACTTCACACTCTTGACTGTTAACTGCATGGAGCTTCTCCTTTTCCACACCTCGTAACAGTTGCTTTGACACTGCCAAGGACTGGAGGAGAAAGAGAGAAAAAATACTTGAGGAACATGAATGAGGAAGTTATGTTTCTTGATATCTTAATTTAACGTCGTAGAAATAGCACAATAAACACATGGTTGAACTCAAACTAAGTGGCAGTAACATTGTATTTTAAGACAGTCTTTTACCTACAAGTTAGCTATTGCATTTAATTACTACAAGTGCTAATAAGGTGGGGGCTCATGGGGAGGCAAAACATCAGTCCACTCAGTACTCATAATCAAAGTAGACGGGCATAAAGAGTGAGACCTGTTCAACTCTCTGGAGCGCCAAATGTAGCTCGCGTTATAAACAGTTAGTATGACTGTCTTAAGTTCTTGTCCAGTGCATCATAGTACCATTGTGACTCAAGTAGTTTTGCAAAACCTGACCCATTAGAAGAGAAGCGAGCAGGATGAGTGAATTCAGGAAAAAGTAAAGCCACCCACCCAGCCTTTCTCTGGGCACCCAAAACACACATAGTTAGTATAACTAATATTGTAGAATCAGCAGTAAGGCTCTTAAACCTAAATTACTGCCAAAATAAAAATCTAAGAAAAAGAATCCAAGACAAGTGCATCTAGACTGCAAGTGGATTAAGTAGCTAATCTTTAAGGCATTCTGCCATTGCGTCACAGTGACAAGTGCACTGTAATTAGATTCAGCCAGAGTAGAGGAGAGGTATCTCTCAGCAGCAGAGGGACCTGTGTCTGAATTGAGCTGGTATTTCAGTTAAGAATGAAGTGAAACCAAAGAACAGAGTAAGTCTAGCAGAAAGACTGGGAATATTACAGGCTTACAAGTTGGAGAAAGTTTGAAAGTACTGACGTTTTTGGGGAGGCTCGCGTAAGCTTTTAGTCTTGCCCAAACTTCCTTCTGAAAAGTCCTGTCGGGGAAAACTTCAGTCACTAGTCCCTGGGCGCAGGCTTCTGCTGCAGTCAGCTTTTTGTTGAAAAGCAACATCTCATTTGCCTAAATAAAGAAAAGCAGAAAGTGTGATTAGATGAGACACAAGACTTGAGGAATCAGACAGGAAAGGTGCAAGCTTCCAATTCACATCACTTTAGTCTCTTGCTTGTTAATGTCTGCTCTCCGAAAAGAACATGGCTCCTACCGTTCACCAAGAGTCTACATGTCCTTTCGAGCAGAGCTCCAAGGATGTCACCTGAAGTTACTTTTTCACAAATTTTTTTGTTCACATCCTACAGTGACTCCAAGACTTCTGGAACAGGGATTCATAGGCTGTACCTCACTGTATAGACTGTCCTTGATATTTTGATGTTTATAAAGTACTTGCTCTACTGCTTACAGATTTAAATCTGGCGCACCAAAAATTGATTAATTATATGAACACAGGCAGTAATATCAGATAAGTATTTGAAACTATCTGAATTCTTTCTATGTGGGATATGAAAACAAATAGTGAAGGAAGTTATGCAGTTCTAATAAAAGAAAATGTACGTTTTGTTGTTTCTACTTTTTTAATTACTATAGTTATTATTACTATTATTCAGTTTCCCAGTTTCTAAAGTAGAGAGAGAAAGTAAGCAGATGGATAGAGGAGCAATATATATTAGAACAAAATCAATAATAGGTCTGGAAGTAAATACATAAATGGATTGCTTCACATTGACGCTTGGAAGAAAGGCTGAATGCACCAGTTCCCTAGAGAGTTCATGGAAACACCTGCAGCACTTGCTCCCTTGCTGGATAAAGGCGGCCTACCAAGACAGTGCTTAATAGCGCTTTATCTTCTTTTTTCAATCCTTCTTTACATCATTCTCCCATACTGCTAGAAGAAGATCCAAGCTGTCACCTTAGAGCTTATAGAATTTGTCTCAAGAAGGTGGGGGAATCCAGGAGAAAGCTTTCATCAACATCCCAGTATGGATTTAGAAGCGTTCAGTACTCTGTTATGGTGCTTGTGCTGATACTGTCATTACATTTCTTGATCTTTGGTTCAAGGGATGCCGAGAGGAGCTTTCATTACATTTCTTGATCTTTGGCATCAAGAGATGCCAAGAGGAGCTTTCTTTGAGGACTCTTGCTGTGACCCCACTTGCTCTTACACTTGGAAGATACCAACACATAAAGGTCAAAAGGTCCCATGTATAGTACCAACATTCTTACCTTGGCTAAGCCCATGATTTTTGGAAACAGGTAAGAGGAGCATCCTTCTGGACTCTGTCCAAGCTGACTAAATGGGGTCTGAAATGTAGCCTGGTAAAAATAAGAACAAAACAAAGCAAACCTCAGAATCAGTTCACAGGACTAAAGCCGTAGGATTTATTTTTCATTTGAAAGCTTCTGCTGTAACAGAGTTCACCAGAGATATATCTGAACCTTTATCATAATAGGCTTTAAATATTATCCAGTAACACAGCTTCATCCTCTCAGTGCACACAAGAACTGACTTGTTTATACAATGCGATTTCCATATCTCAATAATCCCATTGATGAAGTTACCTTATCTGAGTGGAGTACTTAGAAAAACTAACTTGCACGTGCAAAATCTTTACAGAAAGGATGTTCAGACACATCTGCCCTAAAAGTTATTAAGTACATAGCCAAATAATTTATAGCTAGGAAGCACCTTGCTGCCTGAAGGCACATTCTGAGTTTGTTCCACTGCTGACAAATTTAAGTCATTGTGAATCTTTTTTTCCTCAAATTTTATGCAAATTTAAAAAGAATCTGCGGGAGAAATGCCTCTTGGGATCATACAGAACAGTACTCTAACTGCAAATTAAAACTGAACTGCTGAACTATATTTTTGACAGCTTACATCAACATCCAGCAAGGAAGACAAAATGCTCCATTTTATTTCCATTTAAAAATATGAACTGATACACAATGAGTGCACGAGTTGCCAATGCACTGTAATAGAAATGAAGCATGTCTTACTGCACTGCAGATAGCCTTATAGTAAGACAGATCAATAGCCTTCCTAAACAAGAATGTAACACACACATAACTGGAAGTACATGAGAAAAATATTAGACGATATCTGCCAGGATACAAGTTGGTATAACTGGTCCTGCTATAGGAAGGGGAGATGAACTATACCAGCGATGCACACTGGTTCCCAAGGAAATAGAGCCAGATCCTGATTCCCAAGAATGCTGAACTGTTGTCAGACCGGGCTGTGCAGTGGCTCATAAATATGGTTGGCAATAATCTGCTTTGTGAATACCTAGCTGTGAATAAAAGCAGATCCTGAACATGCTGAAGTTGGCCACTTCTGGAATAGGCAGCCAGCGCCTAAGGCACTCCAGCTAAACTGGTGGAGAATGTAAAAGTAAAAGGTAATTTAGTGAGAATGACATTACTGCCTGAGAGTTCATAATCCTGCGAGGGGAAGAAGAGAGAACAATCACCTTTAAGAAGACTTCAATAAACTCAAAGACAATAGGAAAGCTCTTACGGAAGACTAGGCGAAGGGCTCAGTTAGACCCTAGAGAATTCCTCAAAGAACTGTTCAAAGAGCACAAGCCAAAGCTGTCCTAGTGCAGATAGGAAGATCCTAATAGATTGTCCCAGATAAATCATAAGCTCTTCACCGACTTTAAACACAAGTACACAGGAAGTGAAAACTAGGTCAGATGACTAAGGATGAGAGTAGTATGAACACGCAGAGATTAAAAAAAATTAGAAATACGAGGCACAAAATAAGATTCAACTACCAGTGACTGTGTACACAAGTAGTAAAAGGAAATCCAAATGAGTCTGCTACTCAAGCAAGAAGGATGCTACTGACAGGATACCAAAACAACAAAACATATCTTTTTTTTTTGATTGCTCTTCAACTAAGCCTATGCTAAGTTATGGCGGCAGGGGATAGCCTGCTGAGGAAGTGATTAGCATTCAAAATAGTTTCAATAAACTGGATAAATATGAATACGAAGATACCATTTAATATGGACAAGTGTAAAGTTTGGCAGGAATAACTGATAATACAATATAGGATAGGAATAACTGTTTCACTGGCAGTTCTACAGTAAGGGATCCAGGGGTTATAGCAGTTCAGAAGTTGTAGGCAAATCAATGCCATTCTGGAATGCAGGAACACAGCCTGCAAAACATGGAGAAATTCTTCTGCTCTACTTTGCATCAAGAAGACACAAGGTGGAGTGATGTGTCCAGTTTGTATCATTATGCTTAAAGAAAGACATGGAATGACGGAAAGGAGTCCATAGGAGTTGCATGGTCACAGGTCTAAGAAAGCACATCAGGAACAACTGAATGAATTGTACTTGTTTACCTCCAAAAAGAAATGGCAGAAAGAGTGGATGTAAACTGGAGATATACGTAATAGTCTTTAAGTACACTGGAGGCTCTTGCAAGGGAGAATGAAAAGTCTCTTTAAATCCACAAACAAGAAATCACAACAGGTTCAGCCTGCAGCCAGAAAGATCAGATGGCGGGGGGCAGGGGAGAGAGAGAAGGAAAACTCAACAAGCTTCTAACAAAAAAGAGACTCAAGAACTGGCATAGACTAACTAAACTGAGTACATTACACAACCATATACCAGAAGTGACATGGTCCTGTCTTGATCCTGTCTTGGGGCAAACAGGAGGACTTGGTCCCTTGCAGCTCCAACTTCCTAAGTCTCATAGTGATAAACCACCAAACCAGCAAGGATTTTGAGGAAAAAACCAACACAGTTGCTGAAGAAAGAGGCTAAAAGTACCACTCATTACAGACACTTCCAGATCAGGAAGCAACAGCTTGCCTAAAATGAATTAACACCTAGGGTTAAGTTCTGTATTTGTTTACTAACCTGACACAAATGAACAACAGAGAGCCCAAAAAATAAGATATATAATGGGATTCTCTGCTATGCTTTAATATAGCTTTTTCAGTACATTTGGCAAGTTTTCTTAAAAAGAATCCTGAGCTGGATAAACCAAAGCTTTTCAAGTTGTCTTTAAACATAGATTTGATAAAATGCTAGTTACTGCACTCCCACAGAATCGTTTAGGTTGGATGGGACCTCTGGAGATCATCTAGTCCAACCTCCCTGCTCAAGCAGGGTCACCTAGAGCATATTGCCCAGGATCACATCCAGACGGGTTTTGAATATCTCCAGCGAAGGAGACTCCACTCCTTCTCTGGGCAACCTGTGCCAGTGCTCTGTCACCCTCACAGTCAAGAAGTTTTGCCTCAGGTTTCGGTGGAACTTCCTGTGGTTCAGTTTCTGCCCATTGCCTCTTGTCCTGTTGCTGGGCACCACGGAGAAGAGATTGGCCTCATCCTCTTGACACTCCCCCTTCAGATACACGTTTATGAGATCGCCTCTCCATCTTCTCTTCTCCAGGCTGAACAGGCCCAGCTCTTGCAGTCTTTCTTCATAGGAGAGG